AGGGAAATCACACTAACTTTAGTTACTGGTTCTCTAGCACCCCGAGTTCATTGTTGGCAGTTTATACACTGTCAAGAAACTAAAAATAAGTTTTTAAATGGGCCAAAACAGGAACTTGGGAGTCATATGACTTAGCTGGGTTTTTTTTACTTTGCTACTTACTAGTTGTGTGACCTTGTGGAACTTTGACATTCGGGCATCTCACCTTTCTTATAAGGATGTGACCATCTGCCTTTCCTATAAGAGTACAACAGACTGAGGCTTGGAATTCCACAGATTCATCACTGCCCAAAGTGTCCACCTCTTACTAATCTCAGGTTCCAAAATACAGATTTTGGAGGGACATGACGCCCAAGACAATGTAAGAACCCACTGATATATTTAGAGTGTATAGTTAAGGGGGTGACAGGACAGGGTACAAAGCAGGAAGTGCACCATGAGTGTAAACTAGAGATTCCAGTGTATTTGCTTGTTATCTTTCCACAGTTCTGTTTCCTTCCTGCATTCCTTTTTCCTACTAAGAGGAAGAAGAATTTTCATGAGTGAAAAATCATATCGATTGAGCCTTTTGGTTCTTTCTATCTATCAAATGCTAGAGAGAGATTTGTGTCTTGAGGTTTATGTATCACATGACTGCTTCTCTGACTGACTCCTATAACAAGCATTTTCCATGGCCACATTAATTTTCAGAACCACGTCCACTTACTGAAGCATTTATTTCACAGTTTTTTTCCAATGCCTGCCATTTCTCGTGACTTAGTGACACTTCTTGCTTTCCCACTGTGCGCCAATTTTGAGGAAGCTTTTATTCTTCTCATGGTGTTTAATCTAGCTGAAGTTTCTCTTCTTGACCAAAGGCATTAACTTTAGCTCAGTTGACACTGAAGTTAATCAGTGACTATATATGAGCACTCATCAGACAATGCTGTAAATTCCTATTAATAGAACTTTTTAGATGATGGAATGCTGGATGTTGGAAATATTCCCACCTTAAGTTTAGAAGTTCATAAATCAGGCTATGTGGACTCCCCAAGGCAGTATAGGCACCCAGATAATGGACATTTACATAGTTTCCAGTTGTTAAGGAAGCTCTTTTTTCCAATTACTAAAATTTTATTTGAAATTGTAAATCAAAAGTTTATTATAAATGACTTGCAAATAAAAAAAGGAACTGTGAAAGATTAGCCAGACCAAAGTTTGTACATCTCAGTGCTCTTCTGTCTAATTAGAAGAGCCAGTGAGAAGCTGTGGAAACTCATGGTAGGTTTCACTAGTTCACTATAAATTATATTTTATGCTTTTATGCTAGACGCACACACACAGAGAGAGAGAAAGAGAGAGATCCATGTCAAAGTTAAAACTATAAAATCAATTAGCAATTTTTGTTATGTTAAAAAATAAAGTCAGACATAGAAAAATACACAAAAATGCTATCACCGTAGCCATCTTTGCATGTACTGTTCAGGGATCAGTGTATTAAATGCACTCCTAATGTGCAACTATTGTCAGAACTCTTTCCATGTTGTTTTCATCGAGTGCCCATAACCTTCTTTTACTCTTCTCTCTTCCCTCTCTCCTTCCTTCCCTTGCCCAGAAGAGCCTTAAACTAATGACCTCCTGCCTCAGCTTCCTGAGTCATGGAAGATGGGCAAGCACTACAATGCTTCATGCTCCCTAGAATCATCATTCTGCTTTTTGTCTCTAATGTTTTTATTACTTTATGTACTTCACATGAGTACAATTATTCAGTAGTTTTCTATTTGTGATTCCTTTACTTTACCTACTATCAAGTCTTTGGAGTTAGATAATGGAGATTTTGATACCAAGTCTGGTGACCTAGGCTTGATCTTCAGAATCAATATTACCCCAGTGTGTGTGGGTGTGTGTGTGCGTGCACATGCACAAGTGGGCACTTGTATGCGTATAGGTGTATATGTGCACACATGTATGTGTATAGGTGTGTGTGTGTGTGTGTGTCTGTATGTGGTGCTTTGGTACTCATATGACCAGCCAAATATCATGTTCTCAAGGTTTATTAATATGTGGCATATTCCAGAATTCCCCTTTCTTGCTCTAAAAGCCAAATTATATTTAATTTATAGTGTACTGTGCTTTATTTATTCTTTTGGTTGCTTTATCTACTTTGTGGGTATGCACGTACAGTCAGAATGGCCTGACTGCATAACTCTGTTTCACTTTTTTGAGGAATTGCTTTATTGTTTCCATAGTAAGTGGAACTTTCAATATGACTGCCATTGGGGTAGGACAAAGTATTCTTTTTCTTCAGGTCTTTGTCAATTTTTATTGTTTCAATAGAAGCTACCCTAAAAATACCAGGTGGCATCTTTTTACAATTTCAATGAATATTTCCCTAATAATAACTAGTGTTGAGTGTATTTTCACATGCTTATTGGCAATGTATGTCACACATTTGAAGAAGTGACACATCAGTCCTGCCCATGGGTCCCTCTTTCAGTGTTATATGTTTATGCCTCAACAAGTCTATAGTCCTAGAGTTGTGCCAGTGGCAGGAGGGAAGGACTACCCATGAGGTGGGTCTCTGGTCCTTACCATCTTGAATGAAACCTCTTTAGATACTTATTTCCTCATATTTCATCAGCAGAGTCCAGAGACTGGAAATATTTTCAAACCATGAGGTGTGAGTGAAGAGTGTCACGCTGAGTCAGAGACGGCTGGATTTTGTCAATGCAATCTGTGAAATCTTAGAAAACTTCCTATACGTTCAAGGCTTTTATTTTCATTATTTTAAAGCAGGATTGCTATTGGTTAGGTGGTTTGCATATTTCTCTCTTTTGTTCTCTATAACTCTGTATGACTTAGGAGGGTTAACTGAAGACCACTTACTATGAGTTGCATAGGCTGCTGTTAAAGATGTACACTGTGTTGAAAAGAGGTGAGTGGTAGCAGGAGCCAGGAAGAAAGAGGAATAAGTGAAGCACAGAATAACCTATGCAGACTCATTTCATATCAAAGAGGCATGATTTCAGGACCCCCTGGGAACAGGAAACCCACCTATCCCATGAAACACTTCTAATTTTATCTTGCTTTCTTTTGTCGTATGGGATGTCAGGCTAAGAAAAGACCCGATGGAAGGTGGCTATAGGAAGTACAAAACAAAGAAAGAATGAGCTTTGTGGGTGTTTATTTTGAGTCTTAAAAGAAAAACATTACACCAACCGCCTCTGTTGACTTCTTGCACTCAGTACAATGGAAGAGACTGCTTCATTCCTGGAATTTCATTGTTGGATAATTAGACAGGCCGGAGAGTCTCAAGGACTTGCTTAATCAAAATCAAGGAAAATAAGCAGTATCTACATTTTCAGAGTGTTACCTTTCTGTCCATCTGCAGCAGTTTGAATAAGAATGGACTCATATATTTGAATGATCACTCACCAGGGCTGGAACTGTTTGAGAGGACTAGAAGGATTAGGAGGCGTGACCTTGTTGGAGTAGGTGTGGTCTTGTTGGAGGAAGTATGTCTCTAAGTGTGGGCTGTGAGATTGAAGAAGGCCCTTACCAGTGTGGCTCTCTGTGGCTGTTTCCTGTGGATCAAGGATTAGAGCCCCCATCTGCTGCTCCTGTGTTCCTGTCAATACCAGTTTGCTTCCTGCCATGATGACAATGCACTATGAAACTGTAAGCAAGCCCAAAGCAACATGGTATCTTTTATAAGAGTTCCTTTGTCCGTGGTGTCTCTTCTCAGCAATAGAACACTAAGATTGTGTTTTCTTATTTCCTGAAAGGGGTAATTTCTGAGTAAATGTAGCATCAGCTTTTAAAAACTATTCAATTTTTTTGTTGATTTTTGTATTTTATTTGTTAATTTTTTGAGGCAATGCCACATATGATCAAGACTAACCTCCCTCCACCTCATTATCTAGCCAAGGATGACCTTCAAACTTTCATGTCCCAGGCACCATCATACCTGACCCATTGTGAAGTTTTAAACTTTCAAAAGCCAATTAAATATGCAAAATAAGGTGCCCTGATATCATTGAGATGCTATATATTATTAAAGGAGTTTAATATCAAATTTACTTGGTACAAACATAGCAATGTCTGTGGGTCTCTATAAAGGCATTCTGCAGGAATCTATAGACATTTAGACGAGAGGACGATGGCCACACTAGCCAAGAAAGGTCTTCAGGACTTCACACTCACAGACTTAGAACAAGAGCAGACACTTTAGGGACTGTGTGACTTGATTCTTTCCTTTCATCTGAGTGCAGGTGAAATACAAGTCTCTTTACATTGTGTACTAAACACATTGACTTCACGTCCATGAAGAGAAAGTTTTTTCTTTTACATCCATGGCTACAGATTGATTGTTAAAGTGCTTCTGTAGCTCCAAAGCCATGAAGAGAGTCCTCAGAGAGCCAGAAACAGGTGTGGGTAAACGACAAGCCACTGATTCACAGGCCATGCCTCATTTCTCCCTGTAAAGTGGCTCGGGTGAGCCATTCCTTTATTTCATTTAACACAATGAGAGAAGAGGGACCCCGACATAAGCGCTCTGCTCTCTTCAATGATTTTGTCAGGCTGGCTTTCAATTCGAAAGGAGTTTCACAGGAAATGAAGACTGGACTCAAATTCCTCGAAGGCAGCACACATTATATAGAAGGCATTCTGTACAACAGGAAACCCACCAATCGTGGTTCCTTGATCAAACTGTGCTGCCTGTTACTTTGTTCATCATTTTATTAAGAGCCGATTTCTCTTTGCTCCAGGAAAGTAGAAATGCAGTGGAAGGAACTGTGAATTAGAGCTTCTAGAAGATGGATGTTTATATATCAGCTGAGCCTCTCAAACATGGGGATGAGTGGCTTTCACCTTCGTTTCACAAAGCTCCAATAATGCTCAAATGAAGTAATGTTGGGACAGGGCCATTTACAGGAAACACTAAACATTCGGGATTATGACCTGGTGTCTTAAGTAGACGCCCCACCCTCTTCAGCCACCCTTAGAAAGAGGAGCTGTGGTCGGTCGGCATGTAAAGAGTGAGAAGCACTTGCTGCTTTGTAGCATAAACAAACGTCCACAGCCTCATCGCTGCTTCTTGGGTCTTCCTGCAGCTTCCTGGCTCTGCTTGGTGGGGACGGAACTCCAGGGGAGCCAGCTGGCCTTTTGGAACGTCCTTTGCAGGTCCTCGGGTGTGACTTAGGCCTCAAGCGGAGACAATTTCATATAGAGTTTGAACACAGTGTTTCCTTCCAAACTTCTGAATTTTTACAGTGTGAGTGCTGTCTTATAGGGCCCTCATATTAAGTAGCAAGGGTTAGATGTTCAGAGAATGCCATTTAGGGGTGAAAAGTTCGTACCAAACCATTTTCTGGGACATTTTCTTGACTGTTCACTGTAGGTAATTCCTTTGTGTGTTTCATTCAGCTAGTGCTGCCAGACATCCTCTTGTATGCCTCCAAGTAGAGGAGAGGCCCTCTACTGTCTGAAGATGCTTAATGTATGCAGGAGCACCCTGCACCCACCCACCTCAGTGAAGGTCAATGGGAATTTCTGCCATCAACATATAGAATCTAAGCGGTGAGTCTAACGGGTTATAATATCATCCACTAAGTTCATTATGCTCTTCTGAATATTTGGAAATTGTCTCCTTCCTTCCTCTTTGCTTCCTTCTTTCTTTCCTTCCTTTCTTTCTTTCTTTCTTTCTTTCTTTCTTCCTTCCTTCCTTCCTTCCTTCCTTTCTTTCTTTCTTTCTTTCTTTCTTTCTTTCCCTCTGTATGCACATGTTCTCCCAATCCCTGAATACATGCTATTACTCACATGTGGAGATCAGGGGACAACTTGTGTGAGTCATTTCTCACCTTTTCTTTCATGTAAGTCTCTTTACTGAGTGGGCTGACTTGATGGCCTTGGAAATTGTTTTAATTACAATCAAGTAAGGTGAGGACACAGAAGGGAAACATGAGAAATATTCACAGAGCATTATTCTATAATAGTAAATATTATAAAACTCTGACCATATTTTGTAATCGTATATTTGAATATATGTATGTGGTTTTTAGTGAGTCTGTGTGTGAATGTATGCAACTATATGGGAGAGTGAGAAAGAGAGTGGCACATACTATCTTTAATCCTACTTGTATTGTATAAAATATTTATTGAAATAAATATGTAAGTCTACTATCTAATTTTGGGTATAGATAGTAGATAATCTTAAATTAGCGTCATTTTGAAATTTCTATGTTTACTTATAACAGTAAGATAAAAAGTAGCATTTGCTGATGATGATTGTGTTTAGTAACAAGGAAGACAGAAATATTCACATAGTTCTTTATGATTCTGTACAATGTTGGAAAACTGTGTGCCTTTCACTGTTGTGCATGGAGGGGAACCAGCAAAAACTCTTGGAAGATAAGTCTCAGTGGCAATGACAACTGTTCCACAGGGAGAAATTAGATCCCAAAGCTTTTAGTTTCTCTGTATTGTCTACAAGAATGTATGTCATCATTACCTAAAACAAAATGTTTAATTTAAAGAGAGAAGGCTGGGGTTTTCATTCAAGGCCACACTTTCTGAATATATGCCTTTTGGGATCATAATGAGTTGAATAGAAAGGCTTGGGAACACCCCTCTCAAGTATAGAGAAGGAAATTATAACATATATGAAGGTCATTTTCCTGCAGCTTTGCAAGCTGAAGGGGCTATTTTAAACATTAAAAATGTATGGCTCTTATTACAATCTCCCAGCTTTAGTGACTTGCCTTTCACGAGGCTCATTTTTCATTGAATAGAGTAACAAGCTCCTTGTATAGTTACCTAAGGTGACGAGCAGCGGGGCTCTAGAGCTGGAAGAGGCCTATTATTCTCTGCATGCCACTTTATCCCCTACTCTGAGCTCAGAGCAACCTTTCTTAACAGAAGCAAGAGGAATGTGTCCCTGGACTTGAAACTGGCAGCAGAGGAATGGTCAGACCCCTGGGCTTCCCTTAATGTCTTTCCTTCTGTATGCTGTGGCTTGCTGTGACATCACCTCCTCAAACCTCAGTGCTCACAGGCTTTCCTATCTATATGATTTTAAAAGGCTGGGATGGATTCTAGCTCATCAGCTCTCCAGCTGTTGATTTTGTTCTCACTGTAGGCAGCCTTCTCCATTGCCAGCCCTCTGGCCCTGCATGGTGAGGAAAGTGTCCTGGCGCCTCTGGTCCCACCAGAGAGTGTGAGTGTTTAGTGCAGCCGGTGAGGAGAGCTTGGTGTATTGATGTAGGACCAGTATGATGGGTGACGCAAAACCCCGGCTTTGAGCTGGTAGCATCAACAATGAGCTTTGGTTATCATACACTATAGATAATTGTAATCTCCATCATTATGCAATTACACTTTCAAACATTCCTGAAGCAATGGGGATTTTTATAACAGTGGTTGACAGGAACAAGAGTAGAGACTGGCCAGTCAGTTCAGGATAAAATGACCCCCCTCAACATGAAAATTTTCTTTTTGGGCTAAAAGTCAGAAATGTTTTGGCCAGAATCAGAGCCATGTCCTTGCTGGAGGCCAGTTATACCAGAAAGATCCAACTGAAGTTGTCTCTGCTTTTGCTGTTCTGTGTAGCTGGAGATACCAAAACCGGGTCTGAGCTTTCCTTTTCTTCTCCCTAAAGCCTGTCATGGAAATGATACTGAGGACATAACCAAACATGAGAGGGCATAGATGCCTTTGAAGAACACTGGACTGACCAGCTCATCATCTAAGGCTCAGTGGTACCTACTCCTGTTGGCCAGGAGCTCTGCCTTCCTCTCACCCTAACTGGTCCATGAAATTCTTTCTTTGAATCTGTAAGACTAGAACCCAAAAGCTTCTGGCACAGAGCAGCTTTCATCACTGTTGAGTTTCTGGACCCTGGCCTCACAAGCTAAGTACAAAAAAGCCAAGAAAGGCTCTGTTGCTCTCAAAGACACACAGATATTTCTATATCATAGTATCACTAGTACTTCGTAGATAGCAACAGTCACATACTTTTTTGTTTCTTAACTATCCCTCCCCCCTTTGGCCTGTGCAAAATATAAATAACAGTTGGAATGTATCTAAGAATCAGCACCATTACATTTGGAAATTTGAAAACCACATGCCTCTGAGCTGACAGCCACCAAGTAGCTTTCACACTAAAGCTGCGAAAAGGCAGAATAGCAGAAGTGGGTGGCCTCGCAGGTGACAGAGTGTGTGAAAACTGACGCAGGAGCCGGAGAGTGTGGAAGGCGTGAGCGCATGTGGAAGCTGATGAAGGAGCCCGAGAGCGGCTGCGTGTGTTTGGTTGTAGCTTCTTTTCCTTCTTCTCTTCATTCTGCACTGTCATAGAAAAATGTTCCTACTGAAACCTGTGTTTCCCCGCATCCTGAGGGGCACTGTCCCCTTCACCTCTCCAGCTCTACTCACAGCCCCTGCAGTTTCATGCTTGAGGCAGGAAGACAACCCTTCATTGGCTCTGTACAGATGATGACGACGATGAGGAAGCCAAAAGCCTCTGAAGACTAATACTCGCCCCCACCCTGTACCTATCTCTGGTGCTCTGAAGTAGTGGTATGATCTGGGTACAGCCACACAGCTCTGGTACAGGGAAACTGGAACAACCACACAGCTATAGTACAGGAAAATTGAACTAACATATAGCTACAACACAGGGAAACCGAAAGAACCACACAGCTATAACACAGGGAAGCTGGCACAGCCACATACCTATAGTTAAGGAAAACTGGAACAATCACATAGCCATGGTATAGGGATACTGAAAAACAAAATTTTCTTCCTCTCTTTCCAAAGTCTTGCTGTGAGCTACTAGATTGTATAATTGAGCAATTTCTTGAAGTTTTCCTCTGGATCCTGCTTCAATGTTTTCTGTGTATGGTTCCTCTGAGTCGCACTTAGTAAGAGTAATTTCATTCCCCCCTGAGTAGCAGAAACACTAACAGCAGGCTTAAGAGATGTTTCTGCTGTCCTTTTCATAGACAACGTGAATGTTCTGTCTTACATTATCCTTCCACATTTAACCTGTCAAACACTTCCGACTGTTCTTCCTCTTTCATGTCTGCTGTATTGTCCTGCCAATAGCTAATTTCTCCACCAACGCTGCAGGGCTTACTCTGGACAGCACCTTCATGGGGTTCCTGCTCCAAAATTCTCTCTGCTAACTTCATGCTACTTCCTAACAGTGTTAGCACAATTTCTTTAGGTTAAAAGAACAGAACACATAAAAACAAGCAGAACATTCCTTCGACCTCTAGTTTTCTTTCTTCACATACTTTTTTATTTGTTTGCTCCAACTGAAGCTCCTGAAGGAGCTGTCCAGCATGCTTCGTCCCCATATCCTCATGCCCTAGCCCTCCCTGAGCCTAGGGCCATGTGTTGCTATTCCTGCCCTCTCTCCCTGCCCAGACTCATTGTTCTTATTAACTGAATGCCAGGGCTTCTCTCCCTTTGCCCTTAATCTCTTTTAGACTCTATTTACGTCCTACCTCTTACAACCTCACTTCTTGTACCTGTCCTTTGTTCATTGTTTTTTCTCCTTCCCTAAATATCCTCTGGTTTGAATGAGAGTTGTCTCCCAGAGTCTACAGCATTTGGACATTTGTTTCCCAGGTGACTGCACTATTTAGGAGGTTTAGGAGGCATGACCTTGTTGGAGGAAGTATGCCATATGAAAATTTAAGTTTAACATTCTCATCATTTCTGCTTCCTACTTGTGGTTGAAGATGTGAACCCTTAGCTTCTACTCTAAACACGGTGTCTATTGTTCACCTCCATGTGTCTCAGCCAGGATGGACTCTTTCCCCTTTGGAACCATAAGCCAAATAAACCCTTCCTACTAGTTGCCTTTGTCATGGTGTCTTATCACTATAACATAAAAGTAACTAAAACATTCTGTATCTCCAGAGCAGGTTCCTTTTGCCTCCACCAGTCTCTTATAATTGTACACACTCTATTCTACCTTTTCTCTCCTTGTCTTTTGAGCACATCTGCCACACTGTCTACACCATCAGTCCTTTGTTTTTCTGTCCCAGCCTCTCTGGGTTCTAACTTGTACCACTGGCCATTCTGAAATGCAAGCCGGGGCTGGAGAGATGGCTCAAGAGGTTAAGAGCACTGACTGCTCTTCCAGAGGTCCTGAGTTCAATTCCCAGCAACCACATGGTGGCTCACAATCATCTACAATTCAATCTGGTGCCCTCTTCTGGCATGTAGGCAGAACACTGTATATGTAATAGATAAATAAATCTTTAAAAAAAAAAAAGAAATGCAAGCCTTCTCATATTACTTTCCTGCTTAAAACAGTATTCATTTTCTCATTCATCTGTGCTTGGGTTAAGTTCAAGTTGCTTCCCAGGGTTTATATGTCCAAGCCAGACTATGTGGCTGCTGGCCTAGTGAGGTGCAGATTAGAGTTCCAGCTGGGTAGAGATGCTCCGCTGTCAAAGGACCAACAAACACTATTTGCTACAGGCTGAGACAAAAATGTTTGTGCCTGTTTGATGAGTTTGGAGAGGCTGATTCATTACAATATAATGGAGAAGCCAACTTCTCCATTATAA